TAATCTTCTGGCTGAAAATTTTGAAGGAATTGATCTGGACGAAGAGGAAAAAATGAAACAAAATGAAACAATAGTGCCAAGTAAACTTGACAACTATCTACCGACTGGAGAAAATGGGATTTCAGCTGGATTCATTTCTGGTTCATATCAAAGCGATTTATAATGATTTTAATCATAGAAAAAAGAGATGAACCATAGTTGCCCTATATGAATACAGGCGTTAAATAAAAGGGCGAGAAGATATCAAAGCCAAAAAATCCGCAACATATTCTGGATAGAAAATCGCATTTTTTTTCAACCAACGATACATAATTGCAACTTTTTTCAATCAACAGCTGCGCCATGAGCGCATGATACGCCCGTCACATTTTTTACGAATAAAGTTCAATAACTTCTCAATGTCATATCAGAAATTTGTGAAAATCTAAAGGGAGGTTATCTTAACTGATATAAACCAGTCACCAAAGTTTAATGAAAACTGTTCAAAGCACTTTAAAGGTATTGTCCGAAAACTAGAAAATCACCCCTTTTTTATGAATAAAATCCCATAACTCGGAAGTGTAAAATCTAAAATTTATAAAAATTGAAAGGGAGCTTACATAAATAGATATAAACAATTCTCCAAAGTTTCATGAGAACTGCTGAAAGCTTTTTTGAGTTATTATCCGAAAACTCGAAAATCCCCCTTTTTTTGAATGAATAAAACTCCATAACTCGGAAACATAAAATCTAAAATTTATAAAAATCAAAAGGGAGCTCATGTCAATAGATATAAACATTGACCAAAGTTTCTTGCAAATTGGTGAAAGCTTTTTTGATTTATTGTCCGAAAACTGGAAAATCCCCCCTTTTTGTCGAGCCTGCGAGACATAGCGATCCTACATTCCGTCGGCGTCGTCGTCGTCGTCGGCAGCGTCCACAAATATTCACCCTGTGGTTAAAGTTTTTGAAACTTTCTTAAACTGTCCTGCATTTAAACCAAACTTGTACAGAAGCTTGTTTATGATCATAAGATAGTATCCAGAAGAAAATTTTGTAAAACAAAAATCCTGTTTTTCCGTATTTTACTCATAAATGGACTTAGTTTTTCTGCCAGTTAACTTAACATTCACTCTGTGGTTAAAGTTTTTCAAATTTTAATAACTTTCTTATACTATCCTGGATTTAAACCAAACTTGTACAGAAGCTTGTTTGTGATCATAAGATAGTATTCAAAAGTAAATTTTGCTTAAAAAAAATCCTGTTTATCCGTATTTTACTTATAAATGGACTTAGTTTTTCTGCCAGTTAACATTACATTCACTCTGTGGTTAAAGTTTTCAAAATTTAAATAACTTTCTTCAACTATCCTGGATTTGTACCACACTTGGACAGAAGCTTCTTTATGATCAAAAGCTAGTATCTAGAAGGAAATTTTGTAAAAATTTATTTCCTGTTTTTCCGTATATTACTTATAGATGGACTTAGTTTTATTCCAGTTAACAATACGTACAGTCTGCAGTTAAAGTTTTTAAAACATTTATTAGATTCATAAACCTTCTTGGATTTTTACCAAACTTGAACAGAACTTCTTACAATCAAAAGATAGTATTTATAGGAAAAATTTTTAATAATTTTTTCCTCATTTTTGTTGAGCCTGCGACTAACAGCAAAAGAAGGCGAGACACTGGGTTCCGTGGAACCCTTAAGAATTTTTTAATGAATAAAGCCCCATAACTCAGAAACGTAAAAATCTAAATTTTATAAAAAACGAAAGGGAGCTCACATCAATAGATATGAACAATTCACCAAAGTTTTATGCAAATTGGTTGAAGCGTTTTTGAGTTAATGTCCGACATGTTGACGACGGATGGACAGACGGACAACGGTATACCATAATACGTCCCGTAAACGGGAGTATAAAAACAAAATTTGAACTTTATCTAGGAGTATAGTGTTTCATATCATACTGCAATAATTTTAACGGGAGTGTATCTTGTGTAGTGAGTGACCTCAGTCAACAAATATTGGACGACAATACATTTCTGATTCCTAATGGATTTAACTGTTATGATAGCTTTTGCAATTGTCTTTATTTGTATCAAAAGTGTAGCATTTCAATTCCTTATTAAAAATTAATTATCGTTTGATATATAGAGGTCTCTTTTATATTACTGTTATCTTTGTTTTAGAACAAAACTTTACGACAATGAGATGATTTCGGTTTCCCAGTTGTGAACTTTCCAATGTAGCTACATTCTAGCAGTGCCAGCATATATAGTATATGTTTCCCAGTTGATAATATATTCAAGAGTTTGCGTTCATGATTTTCTTGATAGATGGTCGCCGATATCAAGGAAGCTGTCAAAGGTGTTTGGTAGAAATTAACGATGAATTGAGGCCAATGTCATGTTAACCCTATTTGACGTCACGGACATGTATACCAAATATAGTTATAAACCTCGTATGTTGTGAGATTTTACAACCAAAGCTAGTGGACATTTCACCCTGACTGTCAACCGTTCAGTAGCAAATACTTCAAAGCTGACATGATATGTTCATTTTATGTAAATTTATTGGTAACAAAACTTTAAAATCATTTCAAACAAGGTTTTTGATCCCCAGGATTAGCCAGATTGTGCACATCTTTTGATGGAATTTTAAGTTTTCAATGCTCGTCAACTTTGTCATTGATTTTGCCTTCGAGCACCATTGATGAGCCTTGTGTAGACAAAATGTGCATCTGGTGTACTAAATCACAAGCCTCGTATCTTTGATTAGATTTTAGAACCATTGGGTCGATGCTACTGCTGATTGACGTTTCATCCCCAAGGGAATCAACAGCCCAGTAGTCAGTGATATGCTCATTTCCTGTAAATTTACTGATTACAAAACTTTAAATCGATTTAGCTTATCAACTATTCTTAATTATTAACCTACTATTTTTGTTGAGTTTTAGCCGTACCAAACACTAAGCCTGGTTTCTTTGGTGAATTTTACAACTACAATGTACTAGGTCAATGCCACAGACGTCCTAAAGGTATCACCAGTCCAGTAGTCAGCATTCCTGTGTTGACATAAAAAATCATTGGTACGTTCATTTTGTTACAAATTACAAAAAGTCTAAAATAAACAATTAACAATGCATGGGCTCGATGATATGCATCAACATTTCGTGTGAATTTTTGTCTAGACGTCATCTAATTAACCATTGAGATAACCTCCGAAGACTGCCGACGGTAATAAAACCCGATATGAACATAAATATAAATATATAGAGATAGACCATGTGCAATTGGGTTTTTTCTATGTCTGTTTGGTTTCATATTGTAGGTTAAAAAGTAAATTTATCATCATTTTTACCTGTACTTTTAAAAGCTGAATACATTTGTAACCCAACTCCAGCTAAGGGATAAAATCGAAGGTCACATGCATATGGATTCAATGAGGTGGAATTATTCACTTGCAAGTGAATAATTCATCAGCGATGTTTCTTAAATTATTTTGACAAAATTGAACCAAACTGGCTGTTAAAAGCGAATTATTATTTCACTATAACTCTTTCATTAATGATTGAACAAAAAAAAAATATTTTTATTTTTTTTATATCTCGTAGCTAATACCCCTTTAATATACTGTTCATTAATGCTGAATTATTCTTAAAAGAGATTCTATGTCAATCAGACATCTACCCAATTAAACAAACATCTTAAAATCTTAGTATGCCTCATATTTTGACTTACACCTAGGAATTGACAATGAGGGTCAGTTGAGAACAAAACTTACTGACAAAAAAGATGATTTCCACTTCCCAAGTGTGAACTTTCCATTTCATTGTAGCAACATTCCAGCAGCACCTACATAGGGAGTATACATCTCTCAGTAGAGATGATAATCCAGAGCTTGTGTTTCCTTTCTTGATTGCCTTGATAGAAGGTTACTGCTTACTAGATGCTATCAAGCTAAGAGTTTCGAGTGGTGAAGTTGAAGTCATCCCTTTCTAAATCTGTTTACCCTCCAGAGGCACCTGATAAAATCCCTTGCTTTTGGTGGGGTTTGTGTTGTACAGTCTTTAGTTTTCTTTGTTTTGAAGACTGTTGTTTGTTATTTAGTCAGGTTTTTTTTTGGCATTGGTGTCTTCTACCTCTCTTTTACCTGCACCAAAATCAAACAAATTGAACAAGAGACTGTGGAAACAACCACTGGTTAATTTTCTAATGCATGAAAAGACTACTTAATTCAATATTAAATACAATTCCTATTTTTTCCTATTTTGGTTTTTATATAATTCTATTTTAGTTCATTTGACATAGCACCATACATCTCAGCCAATGGTCTTGCTTTTTGGTGTTCCCGAGTATGTCAGTGATTTAGAGAGTTAAATTACTTCAAGCATTAACATTACTTTTAGTGTTATTTTCCTTTCAACATTGCTAATGTCACTATTCCTTTTGTTAACTTTGTTCTATTATTTTGTAAAATGTTATATTAAATTGAGATTACAGTTGAACAAAATATATATATTTAACTGCCTATCCATACTAAAGAGTTTACTCATACATCACATTCTATTAAGGAAACCTTTTGGGCTGTTCACAAAATATTTTTTTAAAGAAAAGCTTTTGCTCCTATTTGAATTTCAATAAGAAATTGAAATGAGTAAATTCAAAGAATTTTATCATATTTTTTTCTTAAATTGTTTTTAAGGTAAAAACAATGAATATACTATAAAGACTATTTTCTTCTGGGAATGAAGAAAAGGAAATTTGAAAATGACTTTATGATTCCAAATTTGCATGACATAAAATTGGTGTAGCCATACATAATCCTGAACTTAAATGAGAGGTATATTTAAAGTTATTGAGGCCTTAGTATGTAGGACCTAGTTTGTTTATATCTGTTTGTTTTTTGCTTTACTTTTTATTTGTCAGATATTTTTCTACACCATGTAGTGTATTTCACAAATTATATATATGGAAGAATATGAAGGAAAAAAAACAATGAAATAAATATTCAATAAATATGTATTCAAACAATTTTATTTTCTGCTCCTTCTATTTTTGACATTGGCAGTAGCATAGAAATGAGTCCCTATCTTCTTTTCCTTGGCATCCCTTTCTAGTTTTCTTCTCTGGAATTAAATAAAAAAACCTTTGTAGTATTGAACATATACTTTTTTTAACTACTTAAAGAGTAATAAGTTTGGTACTGTAGAAATAAGTAAACTATCCTGTTATCTCCAAATCAGTCTAGAAATGTGTTTTCATTTGTCTTTTCTGTTTTAATGGACTATTCAGGATGAATTCATCAGAATGAATACTCATTCATACTGCAAGTTTCATATGTATATTACATCATTTCTTTAAATATTTATTTACTAGTGGCTCTAAAGAGCCTGTGTTGCTCACCTGCATCTTCAACAATGGCCACTTTTTGATAAAAATCATCATGAAAGGGCAATATATATAACTCTATAAAGATTAAACTGACAATTTCAGTCATGATGACGTATTTGTAAATCTTGTCCTGCTGATCATATTTCCTTTTTAAAGTTTCTATGTACATTTGTATCTATGATACCTTTCAAGAATATAGACAAAAAACACAATAAAATGGTAAAAATTATCTTTAAAGGGCAATAACTAACGAGTTGACTGAAGATTTCAGCTATGATGGCTTATTTGTAGATCTTGTCTTGCTGATTATTTTTGCTTTTCAAATTTTCTATCTATCTTTTATAACTTTTAAGATAATAGGCAATATGCTAAAAATGGGCAAAATCATCATTATAGGGCAATAACTTCAATAAGGGTCGACTGACGATTTGGGTCATAATGACTTATTTGTAGATCTTGTTTTGTTGATCATTTTGGCTATATAATTATTATAGTTTCTAAGGTTTTAGGCAAAAATTTGGTAAAAATCATCATTAATGGGCAATAACTCCAATAAGGAGACAATTTCAGCTTTGCTGACTTATTTGTAGATCTTATCTTGCTAATCACTTTTCCTGATTAGATTCTTTCTATCATTTATAGTTTTCAAAAATAATCAGCAAAAATGAAAAAAAAGGTAAAATTTGACATTTAAGGGCAATAACTCCTAGAATAAGTTGTCGGACAGTTTTGACATAAATGGACAGCAGCAGGGCTTCCAAAATTTCCTGACGACAGCCGGACATTTTTCAAAGAAATATTTTTGACGGTCAATGATCAGCTGGATACTTAAATGTAACTGAGAGGATGCATAAATTGATATATGTGTCTAAATAATTAGTAGTGTTATATGCAATAAAATTATTTATAACTGTTTTGTTTTCTTCATTCTAAAAATAAATAAAATATTATCCTCGGTATTGTGTCATTTTTCTGTGTATCGTAATACAGTAACCATCATTGCATCAATCAGCTTCAGTACCTGACTGTTCTCATGTTTTTGTTTCTGTTTATATAATCTATCTTCTCTCTGTGAGTACTTAACACTTTGTAAATTAAGGCCATCTTATTTGAAACTGTTGATGTTGGCTTTAATTGCAGTACAACTTGATCATCAATACACGTGATACTTTTCTTTTTGTGTATTGATTACCTGACCACGTGACTTTTACAACTGATGCGGTATTTATAGATAACATTGAGGAGGCCCGATGAAGGATATTGTTTTAAACCGTGTAAAATCTACTGAACAGTGATAACATTTTTCTTTGTACAATTTCCCAACCTGATTTAGAAAATAAGGAATAAATAAAAACATACTCAGTTGATAAATAATTTAATGAATAACAACATGATATTTTATGTAAGCATATAACAACAATAAAATGTCAGAAGAGCACAATGCTGACAAACACACGCAATAAATATTACAATGAGCACATTGAAAAGAAGCACAGATCACAGCACAAGATTAGAGTTCATTTAGTCTAATTAAAGATTTTACATTCATGAGCTTGCTAAATGCATTGTTCTGATAAACATGGCGGTTACGAACGGATTGCCATTTGCGGATAGCAGGAACAGGGTCAAAGTCTTTAACATCTACACCTACTAAGCTTATCCTCATAAGTTGATCTAAAGCGTCAATACCTAGACTACACCTTAGTCGATCATAATTCCCACGGCGGGACTTAACTTTACGTCGGACATCACCTCTTTCTCTATAACATCGGAAATTGTCTGAATAAATTCGGAGCAGGCATTGTTCTCTTGATATAATTTAGAAGTGATCACGGCACCATTTAACTTAGTTAAATCATTTATTGACTGAAATTTGTCCATTGGTTTTTCCTATATATTTTAGTAAATTTTCCCCTTGAGAGTACCCCAGTATTTAACACGATGTACAGTGTTAAATAAAATAATATATATCATACTTATTCATTTATAAATATCCTTATTTGAAGAATAACTTTTAAATATCAGGATACTTTTAAAACTGAATGCTCATTTAAAATAATATCTATAAAGCGTAATTAAATAGGATGTTGTTCCATACACGCTTACATGTTTGACCTCGTTTACCGGATTACCTTTATGTACATTGTTATGCATCATTAATTCTATTGATAAAGATAAGCTAAGGACACCTCATCAAAGGTAACAAACCTGTAATCAGTGAATGATTTATGGCTTCAATATAACTTATTGAAGGGATAATTGTTTGACAGCTTGTTGTTATTTAAATAAAAGAAAACGTGTTTTTTCTACTTTTTATTGATGTACACAAGCTAAAGACCAAGCCGTACATTTATGTACCCAGAGGATTAGACTAACTGAGACACTTCAAAGTATCTCTAATATGCTGCTTCTGTTTTATTAAACCCAATTATGACCGAAATATCTTTGTGAAATAGATTGCCACAATTATAAACTAAAATGCCCAAACGGACATGCCCAAAGCCCCAAACGGACATTTTTATCGATCGATAGTTGGTAAAAATTGAAATGACCGTTTCATGAAAATGCCTTGAATAACAAAATGTGGCACACCAATTCTATTTGACCGTTTGAGGCTGAGAGCAGCCGGTCTTTTTATGAAAGTTTCGGTCAAGTCCGGAATATATGACCGTTTTGGAAGCCCTGGACAGCAGGTAGATCTCAACATTCTGAAAATTTCTGCCTTGTCAGATTTTCTCTAATCATAGCAGTTTTCAAGATAATAGACAAATTTGCATTTTACTTCTATGTTCTTCTTTAAGCCATGTCATCCATGTTGGTTGGCAGGTGGGGTGGGGTCATCGGATACATTTTAAAAACTAGATACTCTTATGATGATTGTGGCAAAGTTTGGTTAAATTTGGCCAAGTTGCTTCAGGAGAAGATTTTTGTAAAAGTTAACAATGACGGACAACAAATGCCAAGTGATGAGAAAAGCTCACTTACAAATGTTACCTTTGAGCTAAAAATGACAAAATAGCTGATCTATTATCTAATTTTTCCAACAATTATATCACCTCATGAGAAATGATTAGAAGTTATATACAATAAAAATTTCTATGTTAAGTTAAAATCTATCACTATGAAACAATTGATGTTGTTTTGCTCACCTGTTTACTGGTTAACTTCCTTTGAGGTACAGGATCTTCAGGTATGACGTTTTTCTGTCTCTTGGGAACTTTAGGATTACTTATAACATCAACACAAGTCACAGATGGACTGTCCTCTACAGTATAAACACAATTTCCATCTGTAACAGTCAACAAATTACAAAACATTAAATGTAGTCTTTAATATTATTTCTGCCGTAGCTTCATTTATTATCATATTCTAGTTTTCACAAATCAAGCACTTACAAAACAACAGTTTTTAAACGAGACCTTTATGTAAGCATTCGGCTTAATTTCTCAAGCATGAAATGTTTTAAAGTGATCTTAATAGGACTGTAGTTCTGAAAAATCTCTGACCTTTAATCATAGGTAGCGAAGAAATGGACCTAAACCCAAGAGAACAAATAAGGATGTGTACATATATATATAGAAGGTCAGACAAGGGGTAAATCTACATGTCTCAGCAGCATGCATGAATAAGCCTTAAATACTTGTTATAATGTATTATAATATTGCAGTGTCAATAAATCTTAAAATTTCTAAAATTCTCACTGAAATTCAATGCAATGCATATGACTAACAATGAATTTCAAATACAAAAAATACAAAATATAGTCTTCACTTCCAAGGAGAATTACATACCTGTAGGATTAGCAATATCTTTCTTTTTCTTTGCAGGGGTTAAATCTTCTACAACAAAGCTACCACTTGTTGTTGTCTTAAACTGTCGTTTACGGCTTGGTGTATATTTATCAATATTTCTTAATTTGTCTGTTTCTGTTGATGAAGCCACTGTAAAATCTTTGCTTTCTTTGTTAACAGCTTTTTGTTTATCTGAGCTTAAGTCTGTATGTTTTATCTTTTTTCCTTTAGATCCATAGTCTGATTTGTGTTTTACTTTTTTATCACATTTATTAATGTTTTTGGAGTCATTCATCATTTCAACAACAAGGCTAGATGATTTGGTTGTCTTGTCTATATCAGTACTGCTATCACATTCAGCCATGCTTGCTTCACTTAGAGTGTTACTACATTCCTCTTTTACGTCTGTTTCCATCTTTAGGCTGTTATTTGAATCCTCTAACTCTGCACCTTCATCGTCAGATTCATCAACACCATCATCTTCATCTGACATAACTTCAATGTCTGATGCATCCTGGACCTTTTCTTCATCCAGACATTTCACATCATTTCCAGAGAACTCGGGTTCAACCCTTATTTTACTAAATTTTTGAGCTACTTGAGGTAACTTCTTCTCTTTCTTGTTAGCAGAGGCAGACTTCTGTTCATCTTTTTCTACTTTGTTATCAAAATCTTCTCCCTGAGAAATGAAACAATCTTGTGAAAATGCACATGCTAATAAAACATCTAAAGATCATTCTTAACATTTTAACATATTTTTCGTCAAATTAATAAAGAATGTAAAGGGATGTATAAGAATGACATTTATTTCAAAATTAGTACATTTCTTTAATATTGTATTTAAAGGGGCATTAGCTTTCAAATTCATGTTCACCGATTTGACTCAAATTCTCATATTTGATTTATAACATACTTAAACATATATCCAAATTATAAAGTCTAAAAAAAACAATTAACAATGCATGGGCTCGATAAAATGTATCATCCTTTCATGTGTATTTTAGTCTAGTCGCCATCTTATTAACCATCGAGGTGACCTCCCAAGACTGCTGATGGTCATATAACCCTATATAAATATATATATAGATATAAATAGATAACAAACTCGTACAATTGGATTTTTCTAGGTCTGTTTGATTTCATATTATAGGTGAAAAATATATGTTAATCATCAAAACATTTTTACCTGTATAAAAATGAGTTTTTGTGGATCGAATCAGTCAATCAAATGGTTTACCCTTGTTTCACTTTCAATGTTGACATTCTTTTCCTTTTAATAACTGAACACGCCTTATTCATGCATAACCCATCTCTAGCTAAGGAGTTAAATTGAACGTCACATGAATACGGATTGAATGAGGTTGAATTATTCACTTACGAATAATTCATGAACGATGTTTCTTAGCTTATTTTGACAAAATTGAACCAAACTGGCTACTAAAAGCGAATTATTATTTCACTATTTCACTTTCATTATTGATTGAACAAAACAAATCGTATTTTTTTTTTATATCTCTTAGCTAATGCCCCTTTAATATGTTTATTTCATACAGGTTTGAAGTTTGAACACAGTTTCTGAACTTATTCATCATATCATTGCAGTCACTTATATTGCCGGAAGAAACCACAGACTATCAACAAAATTGATGAATAATTGGAAACTGATTTTACCTAAAGTACAAGTTGAGAAGAAAATATAAATAAAATGCTTCGCTGAGTGCAGCCAGATACGACCGCAGAGGTCGAACCCTGAAAAGTTGGGGCAAATTTGGATATAATATTCAAGCTTGATACTGTCTGAATTTTGATTGTGATCAAATTTTTGACATAATCTAGGTTTCTGACACAAAATAAATGTGGTTAAAGATCTTACAAATCTATTGCACAATACTGTGCAATTGAAGATTACTTCTTGAAACTTTTACAAAATTTGAAATTTGAAAATTTTTGGAAAAATATGAATTCCTTAAAAAAATTGGAAACCCCCCCCCCCCCCAACTTTTGGAATCCCCCCTTGGAGCAATTACCCCAAAACTCCATCCAATTCTTTCCTTTGAAGTATGGAACCTTGTAGTACAATTTCAGAGAGATCCATACACATCTAACACAAGTTATTGTTTGGAAACTAGAATAATGCATGTTTTTGGCCCTTTTTTGGCCCCTAATTCCTACATGTTTGAGGCAATTACCCCCAAACTCAATCCCAGCCTTCCCTTTGTGATATGGAACCTTATGGTACAATATCAGAGAGATCCATTCACTCACACACAAGTTATTGTCCGGAAACTACAAAAATTGTTGTTTTTGGCCCCTTTTAGGCCCTTAATTCCTAAACTATTTGCCCATAACCCCTAATATGAATCCCAACCTTCTACTTGTGGTATTAAACATTGTTGTACAATTTCAGAGAAATCGAAATACTTATACACAAGATATTATCCTGAAACTAGAAAAATGTTTCTTTTGGGCCCCTAATTCCTAAATGGTTGGGACCATCATCCCCAAAATCAATCCCAACTTTCCTTTTGTGGTATTGAACCTTCTTAAAATATTTCATAGAGATCCATTAACTTAAACTAAAGTTATTGTCCGGAAACCAATGTGTCTTCGGACGACGACGCAGACGACGACATCATACCATTATACAATCCCAAAAAATTATTTGAGGTCGTATAAAAATTACTAAAATGTCTAAATTAGACTATTAACAAAAATCTACAAAAATTACTTATAAATAAGATTTATTTTATAATGCTTTTTTTTTTTATATGATTTAACAAAATTTATTATGAGATGTATTATTTTATACTAGAATCAGATTTTATGTGCGCTTGCAATATATAAATAAACCAGAGTGTCCATGCTGAAATGTCTCACCTGCTTTACTGATCATGATTGAATTTCATGTTGAAAGTCTTTGAGATAAAGGTTCTACTACAGGTATCACCTAAACTGAACATTATAAATGATCCATGAAAAAGAGGTCAAGGCTAAATGAAGCCTGGCAGAAGGGAATGTGCACCTTACAATCATTGTATACTCCAAATATAGCTTAGCTAGTGCTTATAAAAAAAAGTAAAATAGCATAAACTGTTGACACAGAAATATGTCTCGCCTATCAGCATAAAATTCAGAAAAAGACAATCTGATGGACAGCAACATTGCTTATTAATTCGGTCACTGGACCATGATCTAGTGGGCAAGGGCCTGAAAATGGTCGACAAACTGAGATGTACAGACAGTAATGTAACTTTATAGAAGTTATGAAAAACGAACAAGCAAGTCAAAATGAACATCTTATTTTGCAATGACCACAAATCACTATAAACAACATATGATTATTATTATAAAGAATCTTCGTTTCTGATGGCTTCAAATTTTTCACTCGATTTTTTTTCTTCAGAAAAACTAAATTCCACGTATTTAAGAACACACGAACATGTAGCTTTTGCTCAAACCATGAAAATTGATACCAATGAACAAAAGTACTGTCACAGTATGCCAGATGGAAACAAAAAGCATCTGTATTCAAAGTATAAAGTATCCAGGTCTTTTACCTTCTGCAATATAAAGCTTTACACAAATATTTTAGGCGTCACCACCTGATTAGCATCCCTATATCTCTCATTCTGCATCAGGCAAGAAGAAAATAACAACCATAAATTTTATATGAGGGAGATTCAGATGCTCTCTGTTGTCTTTATAGATATTTTGAATATATACACAATGACACCAAAGGGTTAGGACTGGCTACCAATAAATTTATATGTCCCATGCATATTCAGATTGCTTACATAGCACTGCTATTAGATGTATATGACACTGTGTATCTTACCTCAGTACCAGGTGGTTTAACAAAGTACGGTATTTTGCCTCTCTGGAAATCATTCAGTACCATCTTTGCTACTGTAGATATGTCTGGCTCACCCCCCTATAAAAATATATAACATTTACATCATTAAACACATCAAAATTATTAAAACAATCTTCTTGAAGAATGTATATTTCCTTACTGTATGGTTCCTGAATCTCAGACATACTTTGGTCTATCATTAACTACTTGAGAACTTATGTTAAATGAATTAAAAGAAGAATTGGACACAGATATACAGCTTGCAATTATGCTGCAAATTCGGACAGCAATTTTTCTTTTAATAAAGGGACATATCTCAAGAACAGTGAAAGTAACACCACTCAAATTCCAACTTGATCATGTCTGGTTATAATAAGCATAATGCACAAGTTTTGTAAAATTTGGTTTAGGCAAAGTAAAGTTAGTGTGGAAACAGCAAATTCAGCAATTTTTCCATTTATAAAGAGACATACCTCGAGAACGGTAAAAGTGGCAACACCACAACAATCTCTATCCTAAAAACTCTTCAAAATTTAAAAATAGTTAATGTGGATTCATTTATTTTTGTGGGTACCAATTTTCGTGGATTAAAGAAAATTTACATGTTCGTGGATATTTAATTTCGTGGATTTTCTGAAGTCTGCATACAAACCTATTGAAAATGTGTTATTTGTTGAAGATTTGATTTCATGGTTTGTCTGTACTCACGAAATCCATGAAAATTGGTATCCAACGAATAATAATGAATCTACAGTAGTTCTTGAAAATCATTACATTAATTCTATCTGATTTGGCTATACAAAAACTATAATCTACCTTAAGAAGCCTGCCAGATTTACGACAAATCTGTTCTAAGAAATCTTCATGGCTATTCCAACTAATTAGACTGTATGTTGTCTTTATGTAATCTGTTTTCACTCTGTCCAGCATGGCCTGTATATAATCTTCTGGAGTTTTTACATTCTCTATTCTTACCTAAAAATGTATTGAATCACAGCTGTAGAGCAGAAATATTTGATATCATGAGAGAAAATTAATAATTTTGAAAACTTGACATTATAATGTGTTTTTTTAACTTAAACATTATGTTTCTTTTTTTAATTTAACATTATAATTGTTGATTTTTTGTTTATGGACTATTACTATAATCTTGATACTTACAACTCCTTTAAGAACAAATTCTGTTGGTGTTTCAGCAGTTGGGTATACTACACCAGGACAATCTACCAAATATATTCTTCTCATCAATGTCACATATTGCCATACCTGTGATACAAATAATAATTCTTAATTGTTGGCATTCAACCATATCTGTCTATAGAAATAAAGAACACAACAAATTCATAGGCCTTCAAGGTCTAAAAGAAAATTAAGAGATTTAATACAGTATCCTTAATCAAAATCAAGCATTTTAATATAAAGCATCAATATAAAATTAGATGTGCTAAATAACTATACTGGTATATATATATATATATAATAAACTAACCTTTGTTTCACCAGCCAGAGGTGCTACTTTACAAACTTTCTTTGCTTTCAGAGTATTTATAATGGAACTTTTTCCAACATTAGGATATCCAATGAATCCTACGCTAATTTGTTTCTTGTCAGAGTGCAACTAAAAAAGATGAACGATTCAAAACATTCATTAACTTTCACCTAATTATTGGAAAATTTAGGAATGTAGCTAGTTCCAAGAGCACATGAAATGCCCTTATTGTACATACTAAATTCGTTGCAAGAATAAAATGAGATGTTTGGAAGGCATTTAATCATATGTTCACCAATTCCAACAATTACGCAAGTTATGGTACAATTTGTGAAAAATTTAATAAAATCTGACAATTAAAGTCCCATTACTCTAGAGCGACAAACTGGTAAATTAAAAAAATTACAAGAGAGCTTTCTTTGCATCAATATCCACAATAATGTAAAATTTGGAGGAACTGAATTCACGAATACTGGAGTTATTGCGTGATTTGTGAAAAAATTGTCTTAAATCTAAGAGTCAAAACTCTTGAAAGACAAATCTAAAATTAAAACAAGAGTGCACACGCTGAAATGTCTTGCCTGCTTTACTGACCATTGATTTTATGTTGAAAGTCTTAAAGATAAAGATTTTACTACAAGTATCCCAAAACTTAACATTTTTAAGATCCATGAAAATGAGGTCAAGGTCAGATGCTACCTACCAGACAGACATGTACACACTAACACTCATTCCATACATCAAATATAGTTGACCTATTGCTTATGGTAATTGAAAATAGTTCAAAACACAAAAACTTGACATTGACCAATGAAAATGAGGTCAAGGTCAGATGATACCTGCCAGACAGACATGTACATGTTACAATCATTCTATAACCAAACATGTACATGTTACAATCATTCTATAACCAAATATAGCTGACATATTGCTATCAGTATTTGAAAAACAGACTAAAACACAAAAACTTAACATTGACCAATGAACCATGAAAATGAGGTCAAGGTCAGATGACACCGGCTAGACCAATATGTACACGTTACAATCATTCCATACACCAAATACAGTTGACCTATTGCTTATAGTACTTAAAAAACAGACAAAAACACAAAAACTTAACATTGACCAATGAACCATGAAAATGAAGTCAAAGTCAGATGAAACCTGCAAGTCTGACATGTACCCCTTACAAATTATCATTCCATACACAAAACATATAGTTGACCTACTGCTTATAGTATCTGAGAAACAGACCTAATCACATAACTTTAACCTTGTGTACTGATCCATGAAACGAGGTCAAGGTCAGGTGAACCCTGTCTGACAGACATGTAGACGATGTGAGGAACATATATACCAAATATAGTTATCCTTATACCCATAATAAGTGAGAAATTCACATGACAAAAAAAACTTGATTTTTTTTTCAAGCAGTCACTGAACCATGAAAATGAGGTCAAGGACAATGGACATATGACAGACGGAAACTTCATAACATAATGTATCTTTATGCAAAGTATGAAATATAAAGCTTTATACAAATAGTTTACGCAGCCACAGTTGACGCTGGATAGTAATCCCTAAGTCTCGCATACTGCGACTTTCATCTCAGGTGAGATAAAAATCGAAAGGGAGCTTTCTTCTGTTGATTGTAATGTTGTGTTTAAGTTTTATGCACATTGGTTAATGTGAATTTGGTTTATCGTACGAAGTGTTGACATTGACAAGTGTTGACAGAAGGACATTGTTATACCATAATACGTCTCACATTTCGATGGGCGTATGAAATATCAGATCAACATCTGCACACATAACAAAAAATTAGCTGGACAACTGTTCAAATTCAAAATGACAGATTGACAGAGTAACGGTATGATCTAATGACAGACATTGGTAACACTATATGCCTCTGTCACTGAGTGGAAGGGTCATTAAAATGGTAATCTGTCATTTTTTTCCCACAGAGATGAAAACATTATTATGCCCCACCTAGGGGCATTATGTTTTTCGGTCTGTGCATCCGTTCGTCCGTCTGTCTCGCTTCAGGTTAAAGTTTTTGGTCAAGGTAGTTTTTGATGAAGTTGAAGTCCAATCAACTTGAAACTTAGTACACATGTTCCCTATGATATGATCTTTCTAATTTTAATGCCAAATTAAGTTTTTTTACCCCAATTTCACTGTCCACTGAACACAGAAAATGATAGTGCGAGTGGGACATCCGTGTACTATGGACACATTCTTGTTTAATCATGATTATGTTGTTTATCAATATACATTTTTTATGCTAAATAGTAAAACAGATTTTCAAAAAAATTAATAGAGATCATATAGCTCCATATGAATATCGAACAATATTTTACAAGTGTATGCATTTAACTGACCTTTGCAAATTGTCTCAGTAGAGTTATCATAGCTCCTTTACCAAATGGGTTTGTAATACTAGCATGAAAAGCCATTGTTGGATGTTCAGATGATAATATAGCTACCCACTTTTGCTGAAAAAATTAAAAAATATGTTCTTTAACATCATGAACATGCACAAAGTGTTTGTGAACTCTGAAAATTCCCATCTGGTTGTACTGTTTTGTAAAGAAGTAAAGTATTTTTTTTTAATTTTGAAAACTAAATTTTGCTTTTTGTGCGTTTTGCCGTGCATGTACTGATTTTGTGTCATGGATGGATACTCCATATCCTTTCTTTTATATTTAATTTGTGAAAATCTTGTTTTATCTTGTTTGCCGAAAGAAACATAATCAACAGTAATAAAAGTTTTTATATTCCTTATGCTTGAGGATTTCTCTTTTAAATGGAAATGTATATTCTAATAATATTGATTGATTGATTGTTGGTTGCTTTACGTCCAGTGGTTAATATTATTGAATTCTTGAAGTAGTCTTTAAATCTTGTATATATGCCAGTCTTTTTTCAAATGCATGTATAATTATTTACAAAATCTGGTTTTTTGCTGTTTTTTATAACAATAAATTGGAAAAGATTATTTTTTTATGATTGATCAAACGCTTTTTGCATGTACAGCACTACAAATATTAATGTATATGTAGGCCACAGCAAGTCCATACCTAATTCATCCTACCCCCTGCACATAATGTTCAGTACATACCTGCATCTGAATCTAGCTTTATATTTATAAAGTCGATTTTACATTTAAGATAAGTTAAACACTAAAAAGAATCTAAATATGAGATGACAGACAACAACAGAATGTAGGATTAATATGTATTGCTTCAGCTACATCATGTTGCATCTCGTAAAAAGAGGCAGAGAATAACAAAGAAGCAATCAGAAAGCACATGTTAAAGAAAGACAAAGAACACCATGACCAAAAGAAAATGGACAAACTAACAACCGTTTACTTAACACTTCTCTGACAGCCAAAAACCAGAGATGAACTAATGTGATCAGGAACGGTTACCAGTTGCTGTACACTAGTGTTGAATCCAATTAATATTTGTTTTTATAAAACAGGATTATTTTATTGGTAGCTCTACAGGAAATAGCAGGATTTGCTACTAATAAACCATTCTATAGTATTGACTACATACTTGATAATATGTTCATAGGTTTGATTAAGGACTGGATATTAATCCATTATAAAGTATTGACTGGATACTTGATGTGTTCTTAGCTTTGATTATGGATTGGATGGCAAACTCTGTGCACAGATATAATGGCTTTATACTCATTGATGTTTTAAAGTGCATGTGTTCCACAATAATCAAGATGCAATGTAGTAGAGTCAGATTTAGATCTAAATATAGGAGTTAGAACTATGATATGAATGATATAAAATTGTTTTTAACAAGATATAGTTTCTGATGTTTTTGTGGTATTTCTTTCTCCCAGAATGCTGGATAACATCAGGTTGCAATAAATACTTACTGTAACCCAAACAGGAATGAGATCCACTTTATTGAGGACAAACATTAGATGTTTGTGTGGTTTTTCCTTCTTCATGTATTTTTCTACCTGGTAACACCTAGTTCCCATTGGATCTCTGGCATCTAACACTTGTACCACAACATCTGATGAATCTATTACCTGAAGTACAGAGAAAAATTACTACAACTTTGTCATCAATTTATAATGATTTTTTCCCCTTATAAAATGACGTTTGTTTCTGTATGTCGAGGGTGCAAAACAGCAAATTTGGCAATTTTTACATTTATAAAGGGGCATAACACAAGGACAGTGAAAGCGACGCCACCCAAATTCGTACTTTCATAACATTTGGTAGAAGCACACTAAAGTTACGGAACAGAAATTAATTTCGGGTCGTACATACTGACAGACAAGGATAAAACTTCGCCTGGCGGTGGAGGCATAAAAACTAACCAACCAATTATTTATTTAACAAAAATTTGTCTGCTTGCTTTGACAATATCTCATTACCAAACATGCAATAACATGTTGTTATTTTTTAATCCATATTTCATGCAATTTTGTCAGTCAAATTAAAATTTTTATCTAGAGCTATCTCAAAATTGTTCATTTTTTAATTAAATTGCTTGTTTATGGCAACTTTACCATAGTTTTACTAAGTTACATCCGAGAGATTTTTCTTGAAATGAATGGTTGAAAGAAAAAGGTATTTTTTGCAACAACAATAAAAAATTCCTACCTTGTACAATTCATTCCATACTCTCTTTGACTGTCCTGCTCTAAATATTACTTCTTTATTTTCCTCTCTAAATTCTGGTTCATCTCGTTCCAAATCCTGGTCTTTTTCTACATCATATTTTTCACTTGATTCTGTTGCTTTATTCACTAATGACTAAAATTATTCAGTGTTATAAAAATGATTTTACTTATAATTCTGATGACATAATTTACAAATCTATACTACTAAAATAACGAGGTCCAATTTGTTAGCCAGCATGACGTAAAAACAACGATTCAAAGAATTCAACTTCATATATAACTAATATAGGACAATAGTGTTGATTAATAGTTATACCATTCCAGGCCTTTTTGTTTTCAACATAATTAATATTACCAATAACTAACAAGTTCCAGGTCAAATCCGATACAGATACCAATTGTATATGTCACATGTAGTTTCCAGTTGTAGTAAGAAACCAGGACCGGGTCAAACAGAAAGATTTTGAAAGCAGAGAAAACTGTGCACCTTTTAATCAGCATGACTTTATCAGATAAGAGGGTGGTAAAGGGGGGGTGCTTGAACCGAAAAAACGTGAAATAAGACATAATTTCACGTTAAACGTGAAATAATTTCTGTCATGAACGTTGCACGAAAAATAAAGACTTTGATGTGAACCTTTTGTGACTGAGTCATTGTCTTCTTGTATATATAAACTCTCTGTTTTACTTGTTATTCCCGATTTAGTATACACATTTATGATATAAATGGATTACGGCTTTTAAAAAAGTATTTCTTGACGATCCCTGCCAAGTGTTTGAATTTTATTTGAAAAATACCGAGCACGCAAAATAAGCATTTGAAAATCACGATGCACGTAAAATTAAATAAGCAGAACACGTTGAACGAGGCACCTGTCTTGCACGACTGAACGTCAAATAAAAAAGTAAAAACATGTTGAACGTGAAATAAAAATCGGCGATCACATTGCACGAAAATAACCCTTTACCACCCTCAGATAACAATACGAATACTAAAAATCTAGGCTAAAAATGAAGCGTAGGTACTTTAATTCAGTCACGGACCAGCGATGCATGGGTGTGTTCTAGTGTCCTTTAAAAGAATGATTCATCTTTAAAATTGTTTAGAAGTAGAGAAATTTTTAATCAATTTTTTACATAATTTGGAAAGATTATATTTCAAAGTTTGTAAGTTGAAAAGCATACATTTGATTGAATGCCCTTCAAAAGTGTTAAGATACATACTTGCTGCATTAAACTGGTCAATCATAGCATTAAGAAATGAGTAATTTAAATGTATTTCTTTTTTTTTATTATGAAAAATGAATTTAATTGATCCTAAAAATTTGGAAATTGTACTGTATAACTGTCTCTTGGAAGTCTAAAATTTGCCAACTTATTCTTGAAAATTGTAAACAAGAACAGATGATTTTATTTATTCAATTGTAAACAAGAACAGATGATTTTATTTATACAATTGTAAAGAAGAACAGATGATTTTATTTATACAATTGTAAAGAAGAACAGATGATTTTATTTATACAATTGTAAAGAAGAACAGATGATTTTATTTATACAATTGTAAAGAAGAACAGATGATTTTATTTATACAATTGTAAAGAAGAACAGATGATTTTATTTATACAATTGTAAAGAAGAACAGATGATTTTATTTATACAATTGTAAAGAAGAACAGATGATTTTATTTATACAATTGTAAAGAAGAACAGATGATTTTATTTATACAATTGTAAACAAGACCAGATGATTTTATTTATACAATTGTAAAGAAGAACAGATGATTTTATTTATACAATTGTAAACAAGAACAGATGATTTTATTTATACAATTGTAAACAAGAACAGATGATTTTATTTATACAATTGTAAACAAGAACAGATGATTTTATTTATACAATTGTAAACAAGAACAGATGATTTTATTTATACAATTGTAAAGAAGAACAGATGATTTTATTTATACAATTGTAAAGAAGAACAGATGATTTTATTTATACAATTGTAAACAAGAACAGATGATTTTATTTATTGATTAGAATACAGATCATGTGTTCATGCTTTGCTTACAAGTATCTAACTACTATGTACAGTGAGTACAGCTACATTTCACCATAATCATATGGGCTAACAAATTGTCAAAGCCTATTTCATTTCATTCCTATATGACAAAAGAATTTACTAGACCATAAATTTTAGAGCAAACTATGAATATACTGAATAAATTTCTTTGGTCTGTTCAATTCAATATAAAACTCTACATCAAGTATATATTTTGTGTTAATTACAGAGTGATTTTGTGTGGGTTAACTTTACCTTAAATACTAACCGTTAAGTCATCTATTTTTATATTTGGCCTTTTCCTTTGTGCCTTTTTACCAAATGTTGTTTCAAAAGATTCAGTGTCTAGAAGATGTACCCTGGCATGCTGAAAGAGATTGATTAAGATACAGAAATGCTTTTCTTGTCCAAAACAGCTTTTTTTTAACATTTCAATAGTACACTAAAGCAACGAAGAAAACAACAGGTAAATACAAAGTGTACGCAAAAGTTATTTTGACAAGCACATAAAATATGTGGCCTTATGGTTTGTCAGATGACAGCTCACCATTATACTAATGCATACTTTGATTGATATGTGAATGAATTTGCTCTACAGGGTCTGAAAGACTTTACTGTAAATATTTGCACTAAAAAAAGATAAAATTTAAATATAATGACATATTTTCTAAAAACTGCTTCGCTGAGCGCAGCTGGATACGCCCGCAGAGGTCCAACCCTGAACAGTTGGGGCAAAAATGGACACAATATTCAAGCTTGATATAGGTCTGAATTTGGATTGTAATTAAATATTTGACATATTATAGGTTTCTGAATAAATGTAGTCAAAGAACTTGAAATTGGTTATATGAATTGAATTTATATTCAATTAAAGATTTCTTGCTGTTGTACAATACACTGTGTTGTTGTGCAATACACTGTGCTGTTGCGCAATACTTAGTAAATCTGTTGTCAGACTATAAACAAATAAAATCTTATAACACGGAAACGTAAAATCGAAAATTTATAAAAATCAAAAGGGAGCTTACATCAACAGATATAAACAATTTACCAAAGTTTCATAAAAAAATGCTTTCAGCATTTTTGAGTTATTGTCTGAAAACTGGAAAATCCCCCTTTTTGTAATGAAAAAAAAAAACATAAATCAGAAACCTATAGTCTAAAATTTATAAAAATCAAAAGGGAGCTCATGTCGATAGAAATAAACAATTCACTAAAGTTTCTTGCAAATTGGTGAAATTGTTTTTGAGTTATTGTCCGAAAACTGGAAAATCCCCCCTTTTTTAATGAATAAAACCCCAAAACTCGGAAACAGTACATCTAAAATTTATAAAAAACGAAAGGGAGCTCATGTCAATAGATATAAACAATTCACCAAAGTTTCATGCAAATTGGTGAAATTGTTTTCGAGTTATTGTCCAAAAACTGGAAAATCCCCCCTTTTTTAATGAATAAAACCCCAAAACTCGGAAACGGTAAATCCAAAATTTATAAAAAATGAAAGGGAGCTCACATCAATAGATATAAACAATTTACCAAAGTGTCATGCATATTGGTTAAAGAGTTTTTGAATTAATGTCCGACATGTTGACGACGGACGGACAGACGGACGGACAGACAACGGTATACCATAATACGTCCCGTAAACGGGCGTATAAAAAGTGATATTTTTGTTAAAAGTCATTTTATATTCAATTAATTTTCTTCAAATTTGAAAATTTAAAGCAAGATTGTTTGTTGATTTGAAAAAATTTGAAGACAATAGCAGGTGTTATTTTTTCTCTGATAAAGATTTCAATCGAATTGCCTAAATTACATGACGTCAATAACTGTTTCGTTTTGTTTGCAGGGCATTATCAATTACGACTGGATTCAGCAATTTCCGATAAAAAATTTACGAAGTTTACCGAATCTGAACCTACACCATCACTATCATCAATCATCACCATCACTGATCATCACCTTCATCAACAAAACACGTATAATGTTGTGACCACTGCATATAATGTTATGACGGACAACTGCATATAATGTTGTCACGACTGCATATAATGTTATGACCACTGCATATAATGTTGTAACTACTGCATATAATGTTATGACCACTGCATATAATGCTGTCACGGCTGCATTTAATGCTGTGACCACTGCATATAGTGCTATCACCACTGCATATAATGTTGTGACCACTGCATATAATGTTGTAACCACTGCATATAATGTTGTGACCACTGCATATTATGCTGTCACGGCTGCATATAATGCTGTGACCACTGCATATAATGATGATCATCAACATAAGGCAGTCATGGCGTTCCATAAGGGTGCTGTAGCATTATCAACTCCATAAAATCAAGTGTACAACTTCAAGATGTATGTAATGTTTGTGTGGTGTTTGAGGGATGTTTGAGAGATCAGAGTTGAAAACTGTAGAAGTAGACAATTACAAAATTACAAAAATTTAATACCCTATTTTGTTGATATTGCTTGAAAAGAACATTGTACTAATGGTTCAGAAAATGTGAAAAAATTATTCCAACAATTCCATAATAGCAGGTGCACAACTTCAACATGTGTAAAATCTTTCTAAGAAGTCGTAAGGATCTTGGTTGAAAACTGTAGAAGAAGTTGTAATTGTAAAACACATATGTCATTCAAGGGTACTACTTGTACAAGTTATTTTCATTTACTTGAAGGAGTAAATATTAATATACTTATATAAGTAAAATTGTAAGATACTTATACAAGTGTATTTTATTTACTTGTATAGGTAAATTATTTTAATGGCTTAGTTATGTCCTTTAGACATTCAGATTTTTTTACTTATACAAGTAAAAAATTCATAAGGGTTCCGCGGAACCCAGTGTCTCGCCTACTTTTGCCGTTAATCGCAGGCTCAACAAAAATGAGGAAAAAAATTATAAAAATATTCCTCTCTATACTCTTTTGATTGTAAGTAGCTTCTGTCCAAGTTTGGTAAAAATCCAGGATGGTTTTTGAATCTAATAAATGTTTTTAAAACTTTAACTGCAGACTGTATGTAAAGTTAACTGGAAGAAAAACTAAGTCCATTTATAAGTAAAATACGGAAAAAATAGAACAAAATTTCCTTCTAGATACTAGCTTTTGATCATAAACAAGCTTCTGTCCAAGTGTGGTACAAATCCAGGATAGTTTAAGAAAGTTGTTAAAATTTTAAAAACTTTAACCACAGAGTGAATGTAATGTTAACTGGCAGAAAAACTAAGTCCATTTATAAGTAAAATACGGAAAAAATGGAATTTTTTTTTACAAAATTTACTTCTGGATACTATCTTATGATCATAAACAAGCTTCTTTCCAAATTTGGTAGAAATCCAGGATAGTTTAAGAAAGTTATTAAAATTCCAAAAACTTTAACCACAGAGTGAATGTAATGTTTCCTGGCAGAAAAACTAAGTCCATTTATAAGTAAAATACGGAAAAAATGGAATTTTGTTTTTTACAAAATTTACTTTTGAATATAATCTTATGATCATAAACAAGCTTCTGTCCAAGTTTGGTAGAAATCCAGGATAGTTTAAGAAAGTTATTAAAATTTCAAAAACTTTAACCACAGAGTGAATATTTGTGGACGGCGCCGACGACGACGGAATGTAGGATCGCTATGTCTCGCTTTTTCGACAAAAGTCGAAGGCTAGACAAAAAGTCAATGTATCTTCTTTTCTGGAATTTCTCAGGACATTTTTGCTCTAATAGAATTTTTAATTGTCCGACTTTGCAGATGTCTTTACTAATCATTAAAGTGTATTTCATGGACAACGAAAATCTCATTTGTCTGTTGTCTTCAAAACACTGCTCATTTACAAGCCTCCAAGAGGCAATTTTTGAAGTCCTTGAGCAATTACTTAAGATCTTTGCACAATTAGTTTCTCTGTTGAATTAATGAGATCAAACATTGAACTCTAATAAAAAAATATGAGCTTACCAGAGAAAAATTGTTGAAGGCATGTTTTTACATCCCAAAACTGGAGAATTTTAGGGATTGTAAAAAAAAATTAGTTATACAAGTCGATTTTTTGAGAAAATTAAGGGGAGATTATTCAAACTTTATAAGAAAATATGAATATAACAAATTTACTTATATAAGTATATTATTATTTACTTCTTCAAGAAAATAAAAATAACTTGTACAAGTAGTACCCCTGTACGTAATTAATCACTGATGCTATTATATTTGTATATGTAAATTCTACAAGCTGTATTGCTTTTGAATAAAAGACTATTATTATACATACTTTAGCAGTTTCATTTAGTAAAGTAATAGGTAATTTGGTCTGCTTCATTACAACTTTATATGGATCATTTTTTACTTTGGCCATTTCCTCCTGGAAATTCTGTAACGCTGACTGTGTGATCACTCTTGTATTACCTATAAAAATATATAAAACAAACTGTAAAATTTAATACATTTATATGAAATTTATTAATAAAATATTTCATATTCCAAAGTGGTTTAACCTGCACTTATTCCAAGTACCTGACTTAATGTAATAAAAATATAATTTAGTTTTCTGTGAGAAAAATTACCTTCAGTCAAACAAGCTTTTTGTCTAAGGAATTTATAATTACAGCTTTGAGGTTTTATCTGGACTACAATAAGGTATGGTTAAGCAGGTTATATACCAGAACTCTTCTGCTTTCAATCATAACAACTTTTAAAATGCCATCCATACAGTATAATTGAAGTAATTCAACATTTTCCATATATTCTAATCGTTGCAATGCTTTTCCTTGTTAAAAGATTTTCAGCACCTCAACCACACAAGTGTAACAATATACACAAAATAAGCCTGAGTTAAAGAAATTTTATTTTCCAATTGAGTTGTGTACAAAAAAAAACCATAACAGATTATATAACAAGAATATGTGTCAATATGTCAACATGCCCCTCTCCAATTTACATATGCATTGAACCACAAAACCCTACTTTGGCACATATATTTTAAAAAGTTTGCATCAAATGAACATGCGTACAAGTTTCAAGTTGATGTAACCACAACTTCATGGTAAACTACCCTTAACCAAAACTTTAACCTGATACAAGACAGATGAATGGACCCAGACTGTAACACATAATGATTGATTGATTGGTGTTTATCGCCTATTTCAGCACTATTGTGCTATTTCCTGGCAGTCAGTTTTTAAACACAATGTCCCTCTACTATTGTACTAATGGTGGGGTATAAAACAGGACAAATTGTACAGAACAAGACAGAAGACATATAAATATTTGGTTGCTATGTGTTGTTTGTTACTGTCTCAATGATATTAAATATATATATCTTTTTCTTTGAAATATTACATTGAATTTCAGATATATTTAGTAAACATTCAGCCATCTTTAAGTGAAGATCCTGACATGATCGTTAATTGATTTCAATTTCTTACCAAACCATTTTCTATTAGGTTCTACCCTAGCAACAGATCCAGAGGGTAACCAGGACTGGAATGGTGCAGCTTTTATTATTTCTCCTGACCTGTTTCTGTAAAATAGATAAATTTACATTTAAAGACAAATTCATTACAGTTTTTAAATAAAATAATAAGTTTCCTTGAGTACTAACAAATGATATTTTATAGTCATTCATTAATAACATCAACTACACCTATATCTTTTGTCTGTAATTCTGTATTCTAAGGGAAGTTGATACAGTTCAAGGGGAGATAATCATTAACATAATAATGAACATTAACGTCCCTTTTCACTGGTTTTGTGTATGATGATGTCCTAATAACAGTGTCTTGTCACAGGACTTCAAAACAAACTTTTATAATTGTGAAGAATTACACATTGAATCAGATACAAAAGAAATGTTTTGTTGTTTTCAAATAAAACAGTTGACAAAATAATTTGTTTTTCCAAGAATGTTTAGTTATTTCTCTATGCATTTGGAATAAAGCCAGAGACATTAAAAAACTTTTCAGAACTTTGGAAAGTGATTTTCTTGCAATTTTGTACCTCATGTTTCTCTAAAACAAGCACAGTAGCCTATGTTTTATTTAATGATTTTTCAAAGAGTTTATCGTGATCTACAATGTATCTCAAAATCACAATTATATCTTTTTTTTTGCAGGATTATAATTGGCAACTGCTATAATTTTGTACTTTATAAATATTGCATTCTGTAAACTACTGTTTGCCTTACCTTTTAGCTTTGAAGTTCTTGTACATTTTAAGCCGTTTGATTGTAGACCTGTCTCGCATGTTTGTGCCTCCTCCATCTTTTATTTTTGGACGATCTGAATAAAAAAATTTTTTAGACAACATTACTTTAGCACTCACCGTATTCTATAGCATATCAGATTTTTTTTCTCACACTTTCAAAAACCAGCATCATTTTCAACTTTGTTACCAATTTTTGGCAGGTGAAGCACTGAATTTTGTTACTAACCCAAACAGACACAATGTCTTAAATTTGATTTAAGTTTTACTACTTTTAAAAAGAAATAAAAGGATATGATCTATTATAATTATAAAAACTTGGAAAATGCACTAGTAATGCAATGTACCTAGAGACTTTGAAAATTCACTTGTTCATATAATCTTCAAAAACAGTCAAAAAAATCACAAGCAAAACATTAGCGGCTCATAAATCTTGCATCTATTGAGTGTAAGTTATTGGAGAAAATTTTACGAGAAAACTCTGTATGTGCCTGTCCCAAGTCAGGAGCCTGTAATTCGGTGGTTGTTGTTTGTTGCTGTATATCATATTTGTTTTTCATTCATTATTTTGTACATAAATCAGACGTTCAGTTTTCTTGTTGGAATTGTTTAACATTGTCATTTCAGGGCCTTTTATAGCTGACTATGCGGTATGGGCTTTGCTCATTGTTGAAGGTCGAACGGAGACCTATAGTTGTTAAATTTCTGTGTCATTTGGGCTCTTTGGAGAGTTGTCTTATTGGCAATCATACAGTCAGAGATATAACTCTATAGGGTTATTGCAGAAAATAACTTGCATGTGTTATTACAGATACTTTCATGAGTTGTCTACTCTTTATTCCTTAAATTTTCTAAATCTGTAATAACATATGTTTGTTATTTGTGAAATAAATCAAAAATATTTTAATTTATAATGGGCTCTAGGGAACTCTTGAGACTTTGCACAGAAACTAAATGCATAGCCTTGTTAATTAATTTTTTAATTAAATTAATGCATTTTTGATTAACCATGGTAAATCAATGAGATGAGGCTTTTAAGGGATAAAATTAGCTGTAATAACAGGGTTCGACATTAACTTTTATACCAACTTGTCCAGTTGGGCAAGTGCCCTATTACTTTTACTTGTCCGAAAGTGAAATCTACATGCCCAAACTTGTACATGCTATTTTTGTGGTTGTAATGTAGTACATGCAGATAAAATATAGTTATCATGTATATGGGGTGTAAATTGATTATGGAGTATGAAAATATACTATGAGGCATATATGAGCCAAGGAGGGAGGGAAAAGATCGATGAATATACGGGAATTGGATTATTTACATAGAGATACTTATTTCATAATAATTTATCTAAGAAATGCCATTTCAAATAACCCTTCTTGATAAACTGACAACAACTGACAAATTTGTTAAAGTTTAATTTAATTTTCTCTTTCAAGCTTTTACGTTTTTCCATCTTAGGGAAATACACATCCGATGTCAAATTATAAAGTTAGAACAACGAAAATAGACCTCCGCTTTCCATTGGTCGGTGGGAATAACACGTGCGTCGGAAACGCCCGAGTGGTGTCCCGATGGATAACGATAATGGCGAAGCAACGCCGCGGCCGCCTGATTGGCCAATATTTTTAAACGTGATCTATTTTTGGTAAAATGGGGAATTCAGTGCGAACAATTGACGAAATATACGCATTGAAGGGGGGTTAAGACCACTTTACTCGACCGTGCGGTGTTATCACTGAGTAATCTATGGACAAAACAACAGACACTATTGATTTTGTGAAATTTTAATCATATAACACTTTTTTTCTCTTGCCCGATCGGACAACCAAGATGATGTTTTTACTTGTCCGAATACGGCATTAGCTTGCCCCGGGCAATCGGACAACCATAAGTGTCGGACCCTGAATAACATAGCTTAGTTATTAAAGGAATATAACCTATTATATGAGACACTTGGGAATTACTGGGAAGCTTGCGCAGAACCTCATTACATGCTCTGGTCATTATTTCTTACAATAAATTAAAATACATTGAAATTAAGCATGATTTACGTCTGAGAAAATGCTTTGGAGTGATATAGAGAAGCTGTGATAACACCCTTTAGTTATTACAGGCATATTTTTTCTGTAATAACATATAGGTGTACTTTGCAAAATTGGCAAACTATGAACTGTTATATCTTTCTATAGTTAAGTATACATAAAGACAATAGTAATATCAATAGAACTTGTATGCATTTTAACTAAACTAGTGATGTATATTGTCCCTTTGAAACATGTAACATACATATGTTATCACAGTTCTTTGATTTTTTAGTCCACAATAACAAATGTATGTTATTTTTCTGTAATAACCCTATAGAGTTATATCCCTGACTGTCATACCACATCTTCTTATTTTTATATTATTGTCAGAACACATAAACTATTAAAGGCTATTATCAAACAAACAGTATGGTTTTATTGCTGGGAGATCTACTGCTTTCCTACAGTTGGAAGTAAAAGACTAAATGAAAACAATTATTTTAGATAATATGGGGGAAAAGCAGATTGCATATACATGTATACTGACTTCCAAAAGGTTTTGACAAAGAATTTCACAGTATTCTTGTTGAGTAAATTGAAAACTATTGCATAAACCCAGTACTAGATTTCCTCACATATAGATACCAAAGAGTATCAGTAAATCAGGAAGCATCCATGATCTAATTGGATTGAGGTTACATTATACCTCTGGAATACCAGAAAACTCAATTATTAGGCCCAAAATTATTTGTGCTATCCATAAATGATCTGTGAGATGTAGTAAATTAGAAACCTACACGAAAATATTAAGTTCAGAAAAAATAAGGAATATTACATATTGATTTTTTGAAAATGGGAATTATGAATAAGATAGTGGTGTTCCAATGATCGGAATCAGTTGGTTGGGCTCAGCCATGTCGATAATTGATTGGGATTTTGTAAAATTTGATTGTCGTTATAATTGCATGATTTCATATAAAATAGATAGATTGGTAATTTCAACTGATTATTCAACACTAGTGCAGGGTCTCACTAATTAGCGACAAGAAACGTCAAGAAAACTAATTTAGCGACAAGAAGATTAATTCAGCGACAAGAAAACTAAATAATATTATTTCAAATAAATAATTATAGAACCATGCATTAAATTTGTTGTTAAATATATGTGTTCTGACATGATAATGATTCTGGGATTGTTACAAAATGTTCAGATTGATAATAGAGGAAAATAATGTAATAAAAAAAAATCCCTAAAAATTTATTACAGGAGTGTTACCAAGGATTTGTATACAAATCATTGGTGCTACTAAATACAAGAAAATTTGCAACTTCATAAAACAACAACTAAACCCGTAATTTAATGAATTTTTCAATAATTTTATTGTTTTAAAAATGTATAGAAATTTACTAATAAAAAGGGGGGGGGTGTTGAGACCTTGAAGAACTGTGCAATCAAACTATTTTAATAACTGTGATTCACCTGGGTTCAAGCTATGTTTTGCCTTATTGATGCCATCCCTTTTAGTCGTCTTCATTCCCGGTTTTCCCATTTTTGTTCTATCCAATGCAATCTGCTGGAGGAACACTAAAAAAAGACAAACGTGCAATTACCGGAAGTCAATATCACATGGATTGCTCTATTAAAGTGATGATATTTGTGAATATCTTTACAGTAGTAGTGGTAGTAGTCCATTCAAAGTCTTTATTTAAGGAATGAATGAGTTTTAATTTCTAAAATATATCCCTTATATCTAAAAAATACGCTGCTAGAACGTTTTTTATCTGATATTAAAATAATACAGCCTTAAATTCGCACTTTACTATATTTATAATCTTTTTCGTTGAAGTTAGGAAAATACTTTTTCCAAAAACGTGAAACTGTTCATTTAGAAAAGAAAGGGGAAAATGGTATTTTTCTTCACAACAAATGGTAATTCAATTTTGAATAAAATCCACAGTTATTCAAAGGAGAAACAGAAATTATAAAGAACAATTAAATCTAACTCATTGATAGCTAACATCGTCCTGAACATGATTGAAATATTTGCCACTGGACGATTGGCAAACAAAAAATTATCAATCATTTTTTTTTATCAATCACTAGGACAGATTCAGCTAACATATACTGTAATAAGGGATAAAGCTAACTATAATATAACTGCAAATGTTTTTTTTATTTAAATCCCAAATAAAGTTTTTTTATCATTGTCATTGAACTTTTTTTTAAGCGAAAATTGAAATTCATAATAACGCTTAGTGCCAGTTGGTTTACTACTATGAGGCAGGCGTTACCTGTGAAAGGGAACAAAGCTGTTTACATTAGTTTTTTAAATTCAAGCATATTTTAACTTCAGAATCTGTTAAAAAAGAAACGGAAATATGGAAACGTTTCCGACGTTGGGCCTGTTGTTAGGGAATTTTGTTTTGATGTCATTTTCAATGTAAACAAAGAAATGCTATCATCCGGTAACGTTTCTTTTTTTTCATATCAAAGAATAAAAAAAATGAAATTGTTATTGTGCTTCTTCCTATATTTTACTAGACTGATAAATATATATTTTACTCAAAGTCTTGTGACAAACAAGACCGGAAGAAAGAAAGAGATTTCTGCACAGATGCGGGAAACTTAAAAAAGTCTGAAAAAAAAAAAAGTTAACGATTTTGAGGTCATTAGTAGATTTTTTTTTTTGATTTTTTTTTAATGATTTTTCTACCATTATTGGGGACTTCCCCATATAGGGTATGGAAGTAGTATTAAAAAAAATAGACTAGTAGCTATATATGTAGCATATTGTCACACTGTCTTTAAGTTTTCTCTTATTTTGCATTATGTTTTATTTAAATTATTTGTCATGTCACACTGTCTTTAATTTTTCTCTTATTTTGCATTATGTTTTATTTACATTATTTGTCATGTTGTCAACACTTTATCGCTATTTATTCCATTCCGGGTAAGTTCTGAAATTACACAACTTTTTCATCCAGTTGAAGCTACCTGGGGCCCTGTTTAAACAATGTATCATGCATAATACTTTTTAAAGAGACCTGTTTAAACAATCGTAAACACTTCAAACAAAATATTTTTTTTACTTTAATTTGAGTTTCGAAAAAGTGGATCATAATCTATCAAAGTTTCAAAGTGTTCGCTTTCTAAATTTTTTCCTCCCTCAGCTCGTCACTGATGACCTTTGTTTTTGACGCCGGATGACCCATCAGGAAGTTGTCTAAGTGATTATTTTTTCCGGATTGGACTAAATACTGATAAGGTGTATATATATATCATGTATGTCATATAAAAAAGAAGATGTGGTATGATTGCCAATGAGACAATGTTGTACACTTGGATTATGCAATTTTTATATTTATCATATGTGCTTTATCCAATAAAATATTTTGATTGATTTGAAATTGAAGGAATCCAGTTCATTAAGCCCATATTCCTGTTTCGCCTTGATTCCTATTTTCCCTGGGTGTAGTGGGTCATTATGCTCCGATTTTTATAAAAAAAAAATTTTGGATCAAGAATGTATATTGTAAAGTGTTTATGTGCATTTGGCCAGGAACAACGTTTAAAAGGGAGAATTGAACCCCTTGAGTGAAATATGTTGACCAACTGGTATGTGCATCAAAGGTAATACATTAGTGATTAATCAAAGCTGTCAGATAGTTAATTATCGTTATCATTGTTGTCATCTATTAAATCAGTTACATGATTAATATACATTTGTACATGTACACAAAACATGTAAAATGTACATGATATTTTAAGAATATCATTCACCATGACAGCAGAATAATATAACAATGTGTACTTTTCTTTAAAGAACCTTAAATGTGGGTTATCACACATTCCATATTAATTTGGATCTTTGGAAATGATATTCATGTACATGACGTGGTTAGCTATATTTTCTAATGAAATATTAAAAAAATTCTACAACCATAACAAAACTAATGCTCAACTGATTATCAAAATACTAGGATCACTTAAGAAGGGTAAATGGTCTGTTTTCATGAGAAAAAGATTTATGCATTTTTACAAAGGTCAAATTGCATTTTGATGAAATTGTGTGCACGTATGGTATCTGGATGATTCGTTCCAACTCCGATTCGTACCAACCAATTCGTCCCAAGTTGCTTGGTCAGTTCGTTCCAACTTTTTCAAGAACAGTATTAAACAATATTAACCATTTAAATAGCCTTATTATTTTAATTTTTAATGCTGTATTTATATAAAATGTATAGAAATAGTTATCTAAAAAAAATTCTATGGTTTATTAATTGGGAAGAAAGAGATATTGGGAATGATATTAGGTTAGTATTTCATGACAATTTAATATTTTAAATCTGAATAAAGTACTAACTAGTGTGATTTTCAAGGAAATCGTTATCATTATAATTGATTATTGTATTTCAATGATATGCACAGAATAGTTGTTTATGCATTCATCAAAAGAATAATGCCGTACTTAGCTTGGGTCAAAGCTTGGGTCATAAATGCTTGTAAATAAAAATTGAAGCCATACCACATTTACTATGTTTTTCTTACGTGCATCGTTACTACTCATTAGCAGTGGTTGTGTATGTTTTACAATATAAAATTTTACTCAGTTTCCTTGTACGAAACCGAAAAAAGTAACTTCAAAGAAAGATGGAAAACAAAAGAAACAAAAGTATGGGCTTGGAGGTGTGGAATTATAATACCTATTTTTTGATAGGTCAACTTCTTTCAAACCAATGAAAAATAAATTTTGAAACATAGATATTATAAAAGATTCCTAATTCCATATATTATTTTTATATTCCATCATGGAATCTTCGTGTGTTGTTTGTCATCGTTTTGTTCGTGTTCGCCAACATGCTTTGTCTTGTGACTTATGTGATTCTTGGACTCACAGAACCTGTGGAACTGGTAAGTTAAATTGTTTTTGTTTTCTATAGATTAATATAACAATAGTCCATAGTTACTTTAAACTTAACAGTTTTTAACAATATAATTACTCATGGCGACGAATACCATCACATTTCTAATTGCTCAGCTTTTTGTACCTTATATAAAAGAAAAAGATGTGGTATGATTGCCAATGAGACAACTCTTCACCAGACACCAAATGACACAGAAATTAACAACGATAGGTCACTGTACGGCCTTTATCAATGTTGTAATATGCAGTGTGTTGAAAACGAATACCACTTTTTATTAGCATGCCCTGTCTATAGATCAATTAGGCCTAAATATTTGTCCAATTTCTATTGTTCTTGGCCAAACATTACTAAATTACAGTATTTATTTAAATTAAAGTCTGTTTTACATAAAAACTGCGTTGCTCTACCATATGCATATATATGCTTTTTGCAATAAAGTATTCATTCATATATTATCTATTTATTAATTCTATCGATATATAAGCCATACATGCACGTGCCATAAACCTGTACGCGTGTCACAATTAACAAGTTAATTAATCCAATTACGGGTATCGACATTTTGTTTAATGAGGTATTACATGCGTGATTTATATTGTTATGACGTTACGCACAATGTTGGTGACGTTTTCTGATTTCATGTACCTTTGACAAAAAATCAGCTTTAAATAAGAAAAATACAGGACAGATAAAGTGTAATTTTGTGTATAAAACCTTTAAAGCACTTAAGAATTTAAATTACAGATGGCTTATTGTTTTTTATTCGGTTAAGCAATTAAGCAATGAATGTTTTGTATTGATCTTTTTCACGTTTTGTAAAGCTTGCAATTTCAAGAAAAACTAATTTATATTTTGTTATACATAGTCTGCACTATATAACCTTCCCTTGTTTGAAAAATTATCCTTTGCTTATTCCGCACTCCCTTATTTAAAACATACTTATTATTATAAAAAATATATTACCATTAAAAAAACGTATGACAGTTCTGCCTCTATTGGTATTAGGTTACATAAAACAATGTATAAAAAAGATATACCGAAACGCAATATTACAAAAGGTCATGCCCTTAACACTAAACCCGTACACGTGTCACAATTAACAAGTTAATCCAATTATAAAAATATCAACTGAATGTCCATTTTCTTGCAAACCAATAAGTGAATCAGAAAATTAAATCAATTATTAAACAAATTTACTTTTATCGACAAGTCTTTTATGAAATTGTTCTTAATAAGTTTAATTCAATATTTTGAACAGTAAAATATTTCTCACTGTATTTTCTTTGTATTGTTATAGGTGTCAGTATAGCAGTCTACAGAGAAGCAGTACGCTCTAGTACCAACATAAGCTATGTATGTGAGAAGTGTACACCAGTGGGTGAAAGTACAAGACTTGCTTCCTCCATTGACAACGGTGAACTTGGCAACTTTAGTATGGGCTTTGTAACATCCCCCCCTCCATCACCAACAGGAATGTTTGTTAGGGTAAGACCAGTACTCTCTTCACCAGCTGGTCCATCACCACCACCATCACCAACAGGTTCATCTTCCGACGACGACGAACCAAGGGGAATGTTTGTTAGGGCAAGACCAATGCTCTCTTCACCAGCCGGTCCATCACCACCACCATCACCAACAGGTTCCAGTGACGACGACTCCACAGACGATAGTGTGCCAGCAGCTATATCGTTCGACTTGACAAGCAGATCGTTCCAGGAACCGAGTGTAGTCAACGAGAGCACATACTTATGTTCTGTACTTAACATGTTCTTTAATCTTTATAGGTCGCCTATTCCAAGCAAGACAACGTGCACCGGTTTATTCGTCAACTGATGGCTCTTCCCTACCTGCCAAAAGAGCACATTCCAGCAGCCTTCCAAAAGCTGAAAAGTCGTGTACAGCCTAACAACCAGATGTATCGCCTGCTGACCTACCTTGAACGCAGATGGATAAACAGCACCATCTTTCCTATCAGCGCTTGGACTGTGTTTGGACAACCTATTCGCACAAACAACGATGTCGAAGACTGGCACAACAGACTCAACCGCAAGGCCAAGGGTGCAAGCCTTCACTTTTATGTCATGCTGAAAGTTCTTAGCGATGAAGCCAGGTACCTGCCCATGCAGATCCAGTTGGTGTCGGAACACAAACTCACCCGCTACCAAAGAGCAGCCACAAAGACATCACAGTCCAAGTTGATGGAGCTTTGGGACAGCTATAGAAGTCAGCAAATTACAGTTACCCAGCTGATGACATCTGTTGCACTGATCGTTGTGCCATGCGTTGACCAGTAAGAAAGTAAAATGAAATACTGATGTCTGAATATTGAACAATATTATCTATGAACTGTTATGAACTGTTATTGTTGTATGTTGTTATTATCATGTGTCAATGCCATACATATCAAATAAACTTGTAAACCTCAATCTTAGTTTTTATTGCATAAGACAAGATTATCCCGAATTATGATAAAGGTTGACAAAAGGAAAAAAAAAACGAACAAAGACAACCCAAAAGAATGTATGACTGAATAAACATATACATGTATAGTACACATAAATCTGCGTTTTTCAACACAATTTTTTGTTAAAATCAAACCATAAATGCCTCCAAAGTTATTATTGAAAAATGACCTTTTATATGAAATATACAGAAACAATGTACATGGAATTGCCGATTTTTGCCGTGCACTGTAGGTTAATTTACACAAATCCAGTGATATACGGACATATACATTAAAAAAAAGTTGGAACAAATTGTTAAGTCTGATTAACAATGAACTAAATTAGTTGGAACGAATTGACCATTGACTTGGTACGAATTGACAATTGACTTGGTACGAATTGTCCAAATCTGGAACGAACTGGCTTGGAACGAATCGGACTTGGAACGAATTGACTAGCATTCGCACGTATTCATTTTATTTTGATTTGGTTACATATAGCAATACATAGTCTTATTGAATGTAAATAACATATACATACATACACGTAACATATTAACAGAAAGCATGCAAATACAGTTTTTATGAAGCATATATTTAAATGTGTAGATACATCACAGTCACATTGAATTACATGCAAAGCACTATATGTACTTACATTTTAAAGTCAATTTGTGTCACTCTGAGATTTTTTTTACTTTTCATTTCTTTGATCATTATGACCTTAATCATCTAACTTTTAGATTCTTTCCCCATCCCTTTTTAGAAGCACGTGAAGCTGTCAAAACTCTTTAATCATCCAGTCAAATGTACACTGTTCAAGCTGGAATAGTAGTTCAAAGGTTAGATAATGAATGGACTGGCCCAATTGTATGGACAGCCTTTTTTGAAAAAGCAGTAAAAGTTGGCGAGGAATTCAAGATTCCCTAAAGCATTCCCAGGCAAGCTGGACGTCAGATGCACCGACAGAATCATCCAATTAAAAACCCTTCTGAATATTGGAGTGTCCCTTTACCGGTTCTTGGTTTTTCTTGATCACTTAGTTACGTAAATAACAAGTCGTGTGATCAAGAATGAAGGTAGATTCTCCGGTGATTAACTTATCTTTCAAAGCTCCAAACCTTAACTGATCAGACTACCAACTCAATCTTTGAAATCTTCCGTGCAGATCTTTGGTAGAAACTATTCAAGACACTAAAAGCACTGAATCCGAACATTTATTCCATTCTAACGGTTCTGCTTATAAGAATGTAAGAAAAAAAGTCACGGATAAAAAGTCACAGGAAAAAAGGTCACAGGAAATAAAGTCACAATGAAAAAAAAAAATATATGTAATATATAATAAATTTTTGAATTTACATGTATATTTTTTTTAATAGATCTTTATTAAGATGAAGGCAGAAATATATATGCATTTTATGTCTCTATTATATGGAAAAAGTCAGAGGAAAATTATTTGAAATTGCAAATCATATCAACTGAATAGTGTTTAATATAATTCAGCATCTTTAAATGTTAGAATACAGGGGTATATGGTTTTTAAAGGCAGTGCTTTAATGCCTTTCTAGTTGCCGGGTTAATCCTTCCTTCCGCGATATCCAACTTATCTACGTGGGGGGTCATTAGACTCCAAGTAGATCCGGAAATGTTGAATTCTCTCCTCTTCTTATTGCGATATAAAATGTTTTTTGTTTCATTTCATTTACATTGGGAAATAGAGAAACGATCATTGTGTTTTGTTAGTTTTAAAAACTTTTGATATATTAGTATTTTGCATTATAAGCAGTCAACCGATTGACAAACTAGAATTATTTGAATTCCGTGTGGAAAGAGCTCGGGTTAATTTCGAGTGTTATCTGCAATCTAGATGTTTATAAATCATTTCAGTCGTTGATATAATAATTAAAGGTCGACTGAACATGAATTATATTATACAATTTAAAGCGCATTTCTGTTTATGCACGTGAACCCGTCTAACGTTATTTTCGCAGTTATATAAAGTAGCAAATTATCGTTGCTGAATAGGTGGCGCCGTGGTAGCGGATCCTGTTCCTCTTCTTCCGGTTTCTGCACTGTGCAACTATTTCAGTTATATTTTTAATTAACGATGCCAAGTACTTGTTGTTGTGTACCTGGATGTCATTTAAGAGGAGGACATGCATTTCCAAATGACTTAAAAAGAAAGGAAAAGTTGGATCAACGCCATGGCCCATACGCAGATTGGACGAGAACACGATGATATCGTGGAGTCCATCTCAATCAGCTGTTGTTTGCAAGTCACGTTTTACTGAAAAAGACTACGTGCAGGAAACTATTCATGGTAAAACTCTATTTTCTTTGTGAAATATATAGTTATATATGTAATCGCCATGCGAATAAACCAAAGTATGTTTACAACCGCAATTATCGTTTTAGAATAAAAGGCCTTTAAAGGGGGTGGGTAATTCAAGACGTCATAATTTTTTGGATTACGATTCAATGTGATCTGTTTGAGATTTTTTGGTGATTGCTACAATTATAACGATTTCTTAAAAGAGGTATATCATACTAAGAATTATTTTATGCTACAATTATAACGATTTCTTAAAAGAGGTATATCATACTAAGAATTATTTTAGCAGTAATTATGCTAATGTAGTAATGACAGGAATGCATAAGCTATGCCTCATAGACTTTCTTGAAAAATATCAATGACAATGTTAACAGGAACAAAACAATGACATGCTCTCATCTATATTATAGTTATTTAGGTACAAACTATGTACGTTTGTTGCATAAGTCTCTCATTGTTTGTCCTTTGGATTTATATAACATACATTGAATCCGGCAAACATAGTTTTATCCAGATTGTAATGAATAAATCTAGTTAATATTTCGCCAGGTAGTACAAAGTATACATTGCTAATGGAAGTTCATTTAATTATAAAAAAACTAATGTTTTATAACCTTTTTCAGGGCGCAAACCCAACATACAGAGACTTAAGTCTACTGCAATTCCCAGCCTATTTTCCTGGACCAAGCAAGAGACTGAATCGTCCGCAAAAAGAAAAATCAGGGCAGTTTCCTGTGAAAGCAAAAGAACTAAACTTGATGAATATTGTAGTAGAAATCTAGAGGAAAGTTTTGATTGTAAAGTTGGTTTTCCTGAAGAAGTCATTCATACTGCAGAAAGGATTTATGACTGTCCACCACCAACTGCTGAGTTAATGTTGAGCCTCACAGATGGAATTACGCAAACACCATCAATGCCTATGTTTTCAGCAGAGAATTTTGAAATGAAGACACGTGACACAGCCATGCATTTTTATACCGGTTTAGAGTTGTATACTAAATTTTTATTTGTTTTGACCACACTTGGTCCAGCAGCACATTGTTTGAGATACATATATTTTCAAATTGATAGGGTGTCAGTTGAAAATCAGTTTTTTTATGACTTTGATGAAATTGAGGCATCATACAACCAACTTTGAACTGTCTAGATTCTAGATTGAATCTAGTGTTATGAATATTGTGTATACATGCAGTGTTCTCCCCAGGCCCTTAAAGGACCGCGGGCCCGCGATGTATAATTTTCTACCGTGGTGGTATCGTTCTTGCCGCGATGTATAATTTTTCTCCGTGGTGCTAAAATTGTCAGTAAAAAAATCGTAAATCGGTAAAGTTTTAAACGACTTGTTAAACCTTTTCCGTGGGGTATAAAATTTCAGATGAAAATTGACCAGTTCAAACCAGTTCAAACAACTTGATTGTTTACACCACGTGATCGATTTACCTTTTGAGGTTAACCTTGATGATTGGATTTAATCGATGTACATGATTCGTTTGTGTTTTAATTAATTAAGAGATCATAATTAATGATCAGACTTGTGAGGGACAAGCAGACATTTGTTAATTAACTCTATTACTCCAGCCTTTGGTTATAAATAACTTGCGTATTTTAAACGTGTTGGAGTTACTTCCCCTGAATTAGCTTATTACAAATAAGTGCTCCTAAAATATCATCTATCATTGAAAATAGAAATAAAGTACAAATTGAATGCAAAATTATACAAGAATGTTACCTTAAGGATAAAAACTATCTTTGAACAAACCAACAAAAAATATATTGCAAATTATTTTTGATAATCATACTTTTATTAATGCACAGACATATTATAATAAATAGATAGTATTTTCTAATTGGTAACTGATTTCTTCCCAGTCTTTAAACACTGATTGGAACTCAGCTTGATATGATATGTGGGTGTACATATAGATGATATAAATTTACTTTACATGTCTATCTACCAAGTAACACAATAATGATTCTAATAATAATTGTATTGTTGTTTAAAAGAATCATGTCTAAAGCTATGGAAAATAGTTTTTAATTTACTAGAGGTTCTGCATTAAAATTTAATCTTGTTTAAATTTAATTGTTATGGTGTAATCTAACAAAAATGGGGAAAGTGTAGTGTAACTACAAGTATCAGGACAAATTGGCTTGATCAAAATATAAAAAGTGACTTAAGTTTAAAGACTAATAGTGCTTTCTTTTATTTATTCTTAAAAGAAATTAAAGTATACAAACTGTTTATTGATTTACTTCTTTTTTTACCAGTAATTTTTTGACCCAAAGTCTACATAACACAGTAAACAAAACAAAGACAAAAAGGTAATGACACAAAAACTAACAAGAAAAAAAAAAGCAATGCAACGCAACACAGCATATTGTACAAATCATTTTGACACGTGTTACCCTGGTGCTATCATAAAATCCTGGGGAGAACACTGTACATGGATTGTTTTTATGTCTAAACAGTGGTGTGAGGCTAACACTTGGCCATCTAGTGGTTTAGTCAGGTATTTTTCACCATCCAACTTCAAATTAAAGTTTCCTACGACTTGGATTATTATTGACAGCACAGAATATCCCGTGATAAAACCTAGAGCTCAGGCAACCTTTTCATCAAATAAAAACAGAAACACTGAAAATTCTTGAATGTTCGACACCTGGTGGTTTAGTCAACTATGTCTCTATGTCACATAGAGCGAATTATTGGACTTGGCAAAACATACAAAATTCTAATAAATCCTATGAATGGAACTGAAACAAAACTTTCATCTGAAATAACATTTAGTTGTTTTATGTTGTGTAATTTTAGAACTTGTATTGTGCCAAAGGATGCATGAATAAAAGTGACGCAATGAATTTTGTTATGATATATATATATTTACAATTACATGCACATGTAAATTGTAATGCATATAAAAATAAGGAGATGTGGTATGATATTCAGTGAGTTTATCAAACTAAAGTGCATAAGAAATGGGTTTAAGCAGTTACAGGTGTTACTGTCACCGTACAATCTCCAACAATGAGAAAAACTCGTACCCTGTAAAAAATTTCAGAGATCTTACAACTAAGTTTTGTTGTCTCACCTTGACTTTGGTGAATTTTTTATATCTGTTGATGTAAATATAAAAAAGAAGATGTGGTATGATTGCCAATGAGACAACTCTCCACACATGCACAAGAGACCAAATGACACAGAAATTAACAGCTATAGGTCACAGTACGGCCTTCAACAATGAGCAAAGCCCATACCGCACAGTCAGCTATAAAAGGCCCAGAAATGACAATGTAAAACAATTCAAACAAGAAAACTAAGGCCTATTTTATGTAAAAAAATGAACAAATATAACAAATATGCAACACATAAACAAACGACAACCACTGAATTACACTCTTATAGGCTCCTGACTTGGGACAGGCACATACATGTACATGCAGAATGTGGCGGGCTTAAACATGTTAGCGGGATCCCAACCTCCCCCCTAACCTGGGACAGTGGTGTAACAGTACAATATAAGAAAGAACTATAAAAATCAGTTGAAAGAGGCTAAACTCATCAGATGGATAAATACAAATACAAGTGGACGTGGTCAGGTAGTTGTACATCCAAACAACAAAAAGACACCAAGTACAAATCTGAGAGTACTCGCAGTTACTGACAGCTAGTTCAAAGCCACTAACAACTGATAAAAAAATCTTGCATCTAAGACTAAATTATCAATCCGTAAGCTCCCTTTAGAATTTTATAAATTTTAGATTTTACATTTCTGAGTTATGGGGTTTTATTCATTAAAAAAGGGGGGATTTCCCAGTTTTTGGACAACAACTCAAAAATGCTTTAAGCAGTTCACATGAAACTTTGGTGAATTATTTATAGCTATTGATGTAATCTCCCTATTGATTTTCATAAATTTCAAATATGACATTGAGAAGAAATTGAACTTTATTTGTTTATAGTCTGGCAACAGATTTATTAAGTATTGCACAACAGCAAGAAATCTTTAATTGAATATAAATTCAATTCATATAACCGATTTCAAATTCATTGACTACATTTATTCAGAAACTATAATATGTCAAATATTTAATTACAATCCAAATTCAGACCTGTATCAAGCTTGAATATTGTGTACATTTTTGCCCCAGCTGTTCAGGGTAGTACCTCTGCGGGTGTATCCAGCTGCGCTCAGCGAATCAGTTTATTTCTTAATTAAGAACTCCTTTTTATACGACCGCAAAAAAATTTTTGTGGTTGTATATTGGTATGACGTTGGCGTCGTCGTCGTCCGGCGTCGTCGTCCGAAGACACATTAGTTTTCGCACTCTAACTTAAGTTTAAGTGAATGGATCTCAATGAAATTTTAAAATAAGGTTCAATACCACAAAAGGAAAGTGGGGATTGATTTTGGGGGTTATGGTACCAACAGTTAAGGAAAAAGGGGCCAAAAATAAGCATTTTTGTAACTTCCAGACATAACTTGTGTGTAAGTGTATGGATCTCTCTGACATTGTACCACAAGGTTCCGTATCACAAAGGGAATGCTGGGATTGATTTTTGGGGGTAATTGCCTCCAAATTTTAGGAATTAGGGGCCAAAATGGGGCAAAAAACAAGCATTTTTCTAGTTTCATGACAATAACTTGTGTGCAAGTCTATGGATCTCTCTGACATTGTATCACAAGGTTCCATATCACAAAGGGAATGCTGGGATTGAATTTGGGGGTAATTGCCTCCAAATTTTAGGAATTAGGGGCCAAAAAGGGGCAAAAAACAAGCATTTTTCTAGTTTCATGGCAATAACTTGTGTGTAAGTGTATGGATCTTTATGAAATTGTACTACAAGGTTCCATATCACAAAGGGAAAGCTGGAATTGAGTTTGGGGGTAATTGCCCAAAAAGTTTAGGAATAAGGGGCCAAAAATAAGCATTTTTCTAGTTTCCAGACAATAACTTGTGTTCAAGTGTATGGATCTCTCTGAAATTGTACTGCAAGGTACCATACCACAAAGGGAATGCTGGTATTGATTTTGGGGGTAATTGCCTCCAAATTTTAGGAATTAGGGGCCAAAAAGGGGCAAAAAACAAGCATTTTTCTAGTTTCATGACAATAACTTGTGTGTTAGTCTATGGATCTCTCTGACATTGTATCACATGGTTCCATATCACAAAGGGAATGCTGGGATTGATTTTGGGGGACATTGCCTCCAAATTTTAGGAATTAGGGGCCAAAAAACAAGCATTTTTCTAGTTTCATGGCAATAACTTGTGTGTAAGTGTATGGATCTTTATGAAATTGTACTACAAGGTTCCATATCACAAAGGGAAAGCTGGGTTTGAGTTTGGGGGTAATTGCCGTAAACGTTTAGGAATTTGGGACCAAAAAGGGGCCAAAAAACAAGCATTTTTGTCGAGCCTGCGACTTTTGTCGCAGAAAGCTCGACATAGGGATAGCGATCCGGCGGCGGCGGCGGCTACGGCGGCGGCGGCGGTGGCGTTAGCTAACTTCTTAAAAGCTTTATATTTTAGAAGATGGAAGACCTGGATGCTTCATACTTTGTATATGGATGCCTCATGTTACAAAGTTTCCGTCAGTCACATGTCCAATGTCCTTGACCTCATTTTCATGGTTCAGTGACTACTTGAAAAAAAAGTTCAGATTTTTTGTAATGTTAAATTCTCTCTTATTATAAGTAATAGGATAACTATATTTGGTATGTGCGTACCTTGCAAGGTCCTCATGCCCGTCAGACAGTTTTCACTTGACCTCGACCTCATTTCATGGATCAGTGAACAAGGTTAAGTTTTCGTGGTCAAGTCCATATCTCAGATACTATAAGCAATAGGTCTAGTATATTCGGTGTATGGAAGGACTGTAAGGTGTACATGTCCAACTGGCAGGTGTCATCCGACCTTGACCTCATTTTCATGGTTCAGTGGTTATAGTTAAGTTTTTGTGTTTTGGTCTGTTTTTCTTATACTGTATGCAATAGGTCTACTATATTTGGTGTATGGAATGATTGTAAGGTGTACATGTCTAGCTGGCAGGTGTCATCTGACCTTGACCTCATTTTCATGGTTCAGTGGTCAAAGTTAAGTTTTTGAGTTTTGGTCTTTTTTTCTAATACTGCATGCAATAGGTCAGCTATATTTGGTTTATGGAATGATTGTAAGGTGTACATGTCTAGCT